AAACCATACTGAAACTGTCTCAAATAATTAGGTGGCTGGAATATATGTGACTGAGGTTGTCAGCTTACAGTTATACATTACTGATATCAAGAAAAATGTAAGTTTGGGAACACCTGTAGTCTGTCCATGTACCTTCTTAAGTGAAGATTAGTAGCACATCAGGATTATAATTCAGACTTCAGATAATGTTCAGCATCGACTGATATATTCATTTTGGGTTCAAATCATTATCACCACCTCCACGAAGATGCCTTAAGATCAGTCTTACAGTGTTTCATGACCTGACATTATTGGCCAAGTCTCTGTGTCTTTCGAGTTTTTGTATACCTACAGAAGACTCCTGATCATCTGCATGTGGATTAAACAGAGGACTTTTATAAACACATATAAGATTTGTAACCACTGTCCAGTGAAATTGATAAAAGTTGTTTTCAACGTTTCATCCTTTATATGTTTCAGTCAAAACGACCATCTTCAGAAGGACATTATCAACACTTATGGAAACTACTGTTACATGTCATAGATATATATGTTATATCGTTTAACTAATATGTAGATGTACACTGATTTGTTAAAACATCTAAAATTATTACAAAACGTAAGGACAAGAAACCAAATTGGTTCTAGTTTAAAACAAATACTGAACATTATTTTGTAAGCAGACTAATTGTAATAATTTTTAGATGTTTTAACAAATCAATATACATCTTAATTAGTTAAAAGATATAACATATAGATGTATGACATGTAACAGTAATTTCCATACATGTTGATAATATCCTTCTGAAGATGGTCGTTTTGAGCGAAACGTAAAGGATGAAAAATTAAAAACAACTTTTATCAGTCACACTTGACAGTGGTTAAAAGCCTTACATACAATTACCAGTGTGAGAAACCAGGATGAACCAAGTTACTTTTATAACCCATTACAAATGTTTCAGTGATATATCAGTGGTGCTTTACAATGATTTGCAGTAGACTGTACACCTTCTGATTCTGTTGCTTGTATAATTTTACAGCTTTTCATACTGGCCTACAACTGAACAAGGGCTTCCTTCTTCCCTTGGAAGGATACAATATTGCTACTGCAATCAGGAAAGGCTAAATATAATTACGTCATGTCTGATTTAGCTTAGAGGCTGTTCATCTGGCTCAAGTCCTTCCTATAAGCAAGCAACTAATCACTAGAAATTGTACTTTTCAGCTTACAGGTGCCAACAGGTTACCTAAGGAAGCAGGAGAACCACTGTACTCATTTGAATGTGAAATGAACTCTGTGGCCTTCCTTCCAATACACATAGGCACTGTCGGCAGCTGCAAGCTGTGTCTTATTGAAAAATAGAGACGATATTCCAGACAGTAAGAAACAATAAAAACATAAGTCCACGCCAAAGTTCAGAGTTGGTGCCAGCATATTTCATGAAGAATTTGCAGTTTGGTTTTTGAGATGGCTGCCCTGAAAAAGAAAGAAAGAAAGAAAATGTAGTAATGCTCATGTTAAACTTGAAGATCTCACAAAAACCTCACATGGTGGTTTTCTTATTGAAAATGAAATTTCATATTCTGCATCAAAAATAGAAATTTTTACAAAAGCTTCACAGTACCAAGGAGGAAAGTCTTATTAATCAATCCATCATTAAAATGACACTTTATAGTGTACAGTCTACAAATTACAACAAGATAAGCGACATGCTCAGAGAAAAACAAATATTTACTTTGCAGCAGTATAATCACCGTATGACATTATCGACATTACTATATGGCTTCCCGTCTACTCAGCCTTTACGTTAAAGCTACAAATTACTGTTATTTGCAATGTCAAGATTAGACAAATTTTGAATTGAGTTCACCGGTTTCATCTAGTGATCTGTGTTCTCATGTCTAAGTCTGTCAGTTAATGAATACAATTTTTTTAATTAGAATTGGTTGTTCTTTAGAATGAATGGAGACAAAAAGCATACTCATGTCTGTTTACCGCCACTAAGGACCTCGTATGGAAACTGCATTTCTTTCTGCTTCTGCTGCAAGAGGCTACGCAGTCCAAGTGAGTGTCTGTTGAGCTCATCTGTTTCATCAACTGGAGAAAAAAAAAGAATTAATCTCCTTCAGATGGGGCACAGTCTGTTTGCCCTTAAACAACCTGTAATATCTACAGCTCCTCTCACTGATTATCCTAACAGCTGGCCAAATTTTAAGTTAGTCTGCTGCTTGAAGTAATCAATTCCTCCCAATTTCCAACCCATGGTCTGTGTCTATGTCTACTAGCCTAATGACAATTGGAACAAATATGCTGTGTGTTTTATGAGGAGGCTCTATATGACTTGCCACAAAGTTGCAGTATTCGCTTCTGTCCCAGGGCTGAAGCTACTGTGTATGTTTGTAGTCTGCAGAAAATGAATGCACCAAAAGTGTGGATGGATATCTATCTGCTATGTGGATTCGTGAACATTTAACGATAACTAAAATTTGCTTCCTTATGGAGCACCATTTAGAAATAGCATCAGATGGTTTCACAGTCTCATGTGCAGCATATCTGTCTGTAAAACTTCCTAAAAGTTATTCACTGCATGTTTCAACCTATAAGGTCATCATCAGGTGTTTTAAAATTATAAATTATAAATGAGGAAACTGCTGTGCTTCCATATTGTGGTTGTTGGTCATCACTATGCGGTCCCTTCTATGCGCATATATATACAAAGTGGCTGGTTGATTTGTCTGCTCTGTTATGCAGTGCAAGAGGAACACGCAGCATAACACAGCAGGCATAACAACCCGCCACTTCGTATATACATGCACATAGAAGGGACCGCATAGTGATGACCAACAACCACAATATGGAAGCACAGCAGTTTCCTCATTTATAATTTATAATTTTAAAACACCTGATGATGACCTTATAGGTTGAAACATGCAGTGAATAACTTTTAGGAAGTTTTACAGAAGGACATGCTGCATGTGAGACTGTGAAACAATTTGGTACTAAATGAAGTGCAGCAGGGTGCTACAATATACTAAAGTAAAGTAAAGGTATCCCTGTAACAGGCCATGGAGGCCCATTGGGTTGTGAGATGTTGAGGTTCCCACATTTTCTAGACAATCAGCTCACAGATGGCAGCAAGGTTGTCACCCCTACGCGCCAGCCGCCCTTTACCCCCAAGAATATTCGTGGTACTCATTTCTATTAGAGGCTGAGTCGACCCCAGGGCCATAGTGGAGCTGGAAGGATTAGGTCAATTGAAAAAAATCCAACGACTTCATCGGGACTTGAACCCATGACCTTCCGCCTTGCATTAGAAATAAGAGCCCATGACCAAATCTGGACTGATACTCACTCCTTCCTGTTCAGTTCTCTTCATTCGTTTCTCCACTTTATTTTTGCCAGGTCCTTCTCCATGAAATTCATGAGATACGTATCTGAAATGAGAAAGAGAGACAACATTAAAGTCACTGTATTTTACGATCTTACAGAATGTAGTCATGTTTCCAAGTAACATGTAAAATCCTTTCATCCTGAAGTTTCAGACACAAAAAAGGGTATGATCCATATATAGTTCAATCTGTTATTTTGTGAAATAATAAAAATATGTAACATTCCTTTTTCCAACGCAACTTACTCATACAGCTAATAACCAGAAATGGGCATGCGACAGCACATTAAAGTCGTGGAGATTGAAATGATTAACACAAAATATTTTAATAAAAGTACAATGGTACAGTAATAATTTCAAGGCATGTTTCTTCCTAATTCATGCAACCTATCTGCAAAATGAACCATTCTGCCACATTCTGTGCCTGCACAGCAAACTATATCAAGTACAAAGTATTTACACACTCAAATGTCACAATATGTTGGCTAGTTACAAACTGTCACACAGAGAATGAGAGAAAAGGAAGTCAAAACAACACGTATATATCAAAATGTTCTACTGAAAGCATCTGAGGTGGAAGACAATAATCTCACCCCCCATGATAGGGTAATCATGATAGTGCTAGTCAGCAGAGGGACCCTACAATTTAACATGGGCTCTAACCCATCGGGGGAGGGGTATCCTTTATATTCCTGAAGCTCGAACTCTGGTAGATATGAAGCATCATCTGAGAACAGAAAAATCTGTACAAAGATGCGAGTGGGGATTAAACTCAGAACCTTCTGAATGGGCATAACAGCTTACCCCAGGACCTTTTTCTTAAGGACCTAATTTAAGTGGCTCTATCATTGCTCCCAACTCAGTCACCATGTTAATATGGCTGATGGTAGACAACTAAAAGAACATGTGAGTGGCATGATGACAATACAGAGTTTCACATAAATCCATCAGTTGGTTCACACATTACCCTGAGGATGGCACAGGTGGATGATAAACACGGTAGTTCCATAATATCGCCTGTTTCCACTGAAAACTACTTCCTCCTTGGAATATTTTTCTTAAAATGGCAATTACTGTCGAAACTTTTTCTGCTCCAAAGAATGTACTACCATTTGACATAGTGTGACCTATCTTAAAAACAGATATGCTATTATCTGTGCTGACCTGAAAGCTTCCTTTGCAATCATCTATGTAGTCGAGTTTAACATTTGGTTTGTAGCCCTCCTTTTCTTTGAAGTCTGAGGTCAGACCACTGTAGCGCTCGTGATGCCCAAACTTTTCATCATCTCTGAAAAAGACAAAGCAATGCTGTATATTAAATTCCTTAATCAGTCTTGACCATCATGTACACCTCCCTAATACTCAAGTGGGTCAATCCCGAGAGACAAGACGAGACTTGCAATCCAGTTATAGAGGAGATTACAAAGTGTTCAAAGCTCAGATATTCTTTACCCTTCAGAATATCCTACTCTACTCCATAATCAAAGCAAGTGGCCGATCCTTGTGCCCATGACAACTCTCTTCCCTAAGGTCTGCTGCAGACAAGACTTGACAGCTACAGGACAACTTGGGTGACTCGGTCTGCAGCCACCTGCTCACACTAGTTCCTCACTTGTGAATTTTTATACCCTGAAGATGGAGGCAATACGTTCCTCCAAAACATCGGTTTACATAATATCTATACAGTGCCACATCCCAGAAGACGGCATTCTTCATGAGTGACACACTGAATATATACATTCAAAACTAAGTGCAGTCTGCTACAGAACAAGATTGCTTAAACCATATACATCCATAAATACTTTAAAAATGGTTTATCACTCTTATTTTAATTCTATTATAAATTATGGTTTACCCTTTTGGGGTAATTCAACCCAAAGTATAAAAATTTTTAGAATGCAAAAGAATATAATTAGAATTATATTGAAATGCAGAAGGAGTGATTCGTGCAGAAACTTATGTAGTGAATTAGAAATTGTGCCTCTGGCATCTCAGTACATATTATCTCTTATGCTCTTTGTGATAAAAAACAGAAACAAATTCATAGTAAATTCAGAGATTCATAGAATAAATACCAGACAGCAAAATAATCTCCATCAACCAACCTCTTGTAAATTTAAGTAAATATCAAAAGTGAGTTTACTGTTTAGGAACAAAGGTCTATAATAATCTACCACAACATATTAAGGATATATCGAGTGACACTAAGAGTTTTGAGGTACAATTAAAACAATTTTTACATTTATATTCTATTTATTCATTACAGGATTATTTCTGTTATAAATCTTTTTAAGATACGAGTAGCTGTCTTGCTTTACAATTAAAAGAAGACATGATTGTCAGTCTATGTTCTAGTTTTTAGTTACTTATTTTAGATATACACAATCTTTTATATCACTGTATACTAGTCTTTATTTCAATTTATTATACTATTAATGTATGTTATACAAAACTCATTAATGACAGTGTGTTTTAAATATGGATTTTTTAATTAATAGACTTGTATAAAACTGCACAAATTGTATAAGGTTTACCACTGCTCTTATTAATAAAATTAACTTATTTTATTATATTGTATGTTTATCAATATTGTATTATAAATGTGTATGCTACTGGATGACAACTGTAATTCTTAGTTGTGACTGCAACTAGGACGATCTCCACATCCGCACGAGAACGTACTCTTGACAGGATTTATGGCAGGTGAATAAATGAAATGAGAAAAGTGTTAAATTTCTCTTGGGTGGAGGGTTAGCCATTACAGTTCTTTCTACAGTGTAATGTACTGCAGGCACTACACCCTGACACCTAATATAACATGTCAACAGCATAACATTCATCTGTGGTGTAGTAAAAACCTGACCTCGAACTTTAGCCGGTATGGACTGGGAAGGCCATTGTCTCTACTGCCGAAGCTTAAATGATTCCGTTTAAAATAACAAAGCTTACTTACCTGCAAACTATTATTTGATGCTGTCTGCGTTTATTCATTTTATTCTTAACAGCAGAGAGATTTCTTTCATAGTTATATGTACCCTACACCTTCCCACTGAAACTCAAACCGGCCATATTTCGGGAACAAAATTCTACCAATCAAACGGCATCATTTCAATCATGTGAACCAACGGGTACATCCAACGTTATCATGATAACTTTTGGGTCAGGTCGGGAAAGTACTCTGTGCCCTGGGTTCCTTAAGGTATCACAGTACTCTCTAGGGACGAGGGATTAGCAAGGAAACTGGCAACCGCAATTAACGAGAACTGTTATCAGCCTGAGTTGAACACACGTTACTGAATAGAGCAGCGAAAATTGAGGTAACTGCTTTTCCGTTTCCTCAATTTGCGGTTTGCCAGTTTCCTTGGTGTGCCCTCGCCCTTATAGAGCAACAGACACTAGGAAACCACACGGCAACGCAATTGTGAGAAGACTGGTATGCTCAGTTGCCTGGAAGTTGAATTTCTCAGTCTTTCCTCGAGTTGCGTTGCCATTAGCTCAATTTACGCTGCTTCATTCTATAAGATGTGTTCAACTCGGGCTAATGAATTCTCGGAAATTGCGGTTGCATGTTTCCTTGGTGTGCCCTCGCCTTCAGTCTTCCGGGAGTTGCGTAGCTGTTCCCGTAATTTGCGTTACTCCAATTAATTCCATGTTCAATCAGTCTGACAATTCTCGGAAATTGCGGTTGCTAGTTTTCTTGGTATGCCCTTGGGCGATTTGACATCCAGGTTATGTTGATGCTGAAGTCAATGAATGATGTTCGAATTCATCGATCGCTAGTACCAAAGTGAAGTCAGTAACCATTACCATGGTACTGTAGGATTGCGTGGTTCCAGTGATGCAAAATTGATATGTCCCAAGTTTGTTTCTCTGCCCTCTGCGCAAACGTGTTTCATTTTCCAAAATATTACATTTCAAAGATTTTCATAGAATAGGCTATTCCTCTGCTTTCTATGAATATAATACTTTTTTCTTTCAATTTACCTGTCTTCCACTATGTCTTGCAACCTGTCCCTCACACATGTACTCCTCTGGTGGTCCAAATCTGTGGACCCCAGCAGTGGTCTGAGATGCCCTGTGCCGCTTCTAGGTGCTGGTTCTGTCTTAGTGAAACCTACATCTGTGTTTCCTTCAGATGTTATGTATCCCAAATTTCATGGAAGTCATTTCTTTCTAATGGGGCATTCATTCTAGTTTATGATTAGTATTATTTCCTGGGATGTGACAGCACACAGTCAAGTACATGTTCACTTACATTTTAGAGCACTGTAATGCCTCAATCTCCAGGACTGACAAGTGAGTCAAGCAAGCAAATGCACAAGCAGCAAAGAGAACAATTCTTCCATGTCAAGTGCTTCGTTTAGTTTTATTTGAAGCAAACATGAAAATCAAACTTTGCATTTGTAGCTGCCTGTAAGTGTCCTCCTTCATGGTCAAAGAGTAAGCCAAACACTATACCAACAAACAGAACATTCAAGAGCTTTCATGCTCTTCAACCCTGAAGATGGCGGCACTGCATTCCTCCATAATATCAGTACACTTCTACCACAATACACAGTCATATCCTTGGGATATTCTTCAAAATTAGTTTTTGGTTTAACACTTAGCTCAGTCATCTCATTCAAGCTATGTACCTCAAGCTTTAACAAGCACCTAATTTTCTGTCAGCTTACTGTCTTGGAGAGTGCTGACATGCATGTGAAAGGAGAAGTACATAACTAGAAAGAAGGAGCCATATAAAATTCTTTTTCTTGTGGAAAATAGGGTTATGGGAATAATATGATGACATGCATGTTAGTTTTAATGAATGAAAGAAGTTTCTTGAGGGGCTCACATTGCTCTTACCCTTAGGCTACACCACCTCCATCTGACAAAGCTGTCTTTAAGGAAAATGCCAGGCGTCACCCAGGCACCCAATCAAAAGCATCAGGCTGCCACCTTGGGTTTGGTCTATTTAATCAGACAACCCAAGAGTCAATTCTATATTTTGTCTGGTTTTAATATTTGAAAGTGTGCGGTCAGCTAACATTATAAAGGAACAAGACACGGTCAGGTCATATACTGGATGTGACAAAGGGAGAAATCTCAGCTATTGTATCCAGATCTGGCTGTTACCAACTGAAAAACCACAAAGTAAAACACAATTGATTCAAATGTCTGTACAATTTTCACAGCAATTCAAAACAGGAGTACATTTCACTACCCTTTTACACCAGTTATACAACAGCACTTTATTTCATAATACTGCAACAAGCTCACAAGCTTACATGCAAATTCTTTTCTGGCATTATGAAAATAAAGAGATGAATTACCATATTAGCAATAAGTTCTTTTGCAAATATGGCTGGATAAATTGCAATTATATAACTCCTATTGTATTAATTCCCTGACATAAATGTTTATATAGTTATTCATATAATTTCACTTCTCAGTCTTCACACATCCAAATATTAACATTAATCAAAAACTAAAAACTTCTGGTATTTCATTCATAGCACAAAGATGTTTATTGTGGTATATAATAATCCTATCCAATCTTCAACATAATGCGTCACACCTTTCTCTTCAATATTTGTGACAGCTAGTTGGTTGAGGCACTATGCTAAAAGCCAGAAGGCCAGGGGGTTTCATTCCTGATGAGGTTATTGGATTTTACAATTGGTCTAATCCTTCTAGCTGCAGTATGGCCCTAGGGTCGACTCAGCCTCTAACAGAAATGAGTACCAGGAATCTTCCTGGGGATAATGGGCAGTCGGTGCTTAAGGCTGACAACCTCACCACCATCTGTGTGCCAACTGTCTAGAAAATCTGGGAGCCTCAACATCTCAAAATTCTATGGGCCTCCATGGTCAGTTACAGGGAATGGCTTTACTTTTTTTACCTTTTCACAGTACGTAATTCACTTTAAATTTCTGATCAGGTAACAATAAGTCTGATTTATTTTTTACAAATTCAAAACTTAATAGGTTGATACCTTCCTTGAAAGCAGCATGTGCATAAGCCTCATATTGCTTGTATAAAGGCGATAAAATGATGAGTTAAACAGGAGTGAGTCACCATAATGAAGTATCATCAACTCTTACACTCTGCTGTCTCCAGTTCTCCCTCTTGGAAAGTTAAACCCACTAATTAAATGAACAGAACTGGAAATACATCACACTATTAGTTTCTGAATGCAGTGCTAAGAGGTTTAGTTGATACTTCATGTGAATGTTTATCTGTTTCTTTCCTTTAGGTTAATTTATTTTAGCAAATTATATCCCACCTGGTCAGTTTTCATTTGGTCTGTTTCAGTTTCAAATTTGGTAGACCCAGTCTCATACTGGACTGAACAGTAATTTTATCATGTCAATCTAATTCTAATAGAGTGAGCCCATTTCTGGTGCTTTCTTTACTTATTATACAGCATCCCTTTAGTACAATTCCAGTTTCATTTGCCTGGATTTTAAATTCCATAGATTCGGTCTCAAATTGGACTGGAACCCGGTTACTTAATGTCAGAGTTAATTCGAGAGGAGATCACCTGAAAGAGTTAGAAGCACAGGTCTCTTTCTACAGGAAAAAAAAAATGGTAGTTTCATGCTTGGTTTTAGTATCAAGTTTGAACTATAAATAGCATCAGCAGATCTGACACACTTCTGACAATTTTCTTGGTATGCACTGCCCAACAGTAATGCATACCAACTGAAGGAACCATTGATAAGAGGCATGTTATAACAACTGGATGTCATGACATTCCAGGAAGGCAATCATGATAAGAATACTGACACAGCAGTTCAACCTAGTGCATAAGAGTAATTCTGCCTAGGTACCCAATAGAATAGGAATCTCTTCATGCCTTCTACACCAGAAGATGCAAATTCAACCCATTTCCAAAACACTGTGGTTTCTATATTAAGATTTAGGATGACAGGCGAAGTCTAAAACAATAGCTTTACAAGTTATGTCACATCACTGTCAAATAACTTTTGTAGCATTTACTGTGTTTTCATTACATTCTATAAAATATCCATCTGACTAATATTATTAAGCTACTTGGATATAATTTAAATACATAAATAAGAACAGATAAATGTAACATGGGTATTATTTCACTTACATATGATGTACTTATTTTTTTTCCTTGTGGGTTTAGTTTATCACGCTGTCAGTATCTCAGACTATATACGAGTAGCAGTGCTTCCCAGAGTGGGGCAATGAGCAAATGATGTTGCATTCATCACCTCATCACCGATATAGTAAAAAAAATCACCACTGTCAGCAATAAATTATCGATGTTGCAACCCTGACTTTCCGAGGAAAAAGAGTTGGCAACACTAGTACAGCAGTCAACATAAATACTTGGGAGCATAAGTATGTGAAAGTTAGACCATAGCATCTGTCACTTCTGAAAAGTAAACATTTCCAATTTAACTTTGTGCAGTTTTTGTTGTAGAAAAGAGTTAAGTTTGTTTAATTTTCTTATGTATTGTCAATGTTTTTATGCTAGCAGGCATTTTTATATGTAACATTTTTACATGTTGTTAGTTTTCTGGTTACCCAAAAGTCACACTACCACCAATTTAAATAAAATGAACACTTTGCCACAACTGTATTAGGTTCATTTAACAGCTGAAAACATAAACATAATTTCTCATATTTCGTTGTTTCTTTCTCTCTGCTTGTGACAGTAGACTTTTAAAATTTGTTTGCAGTATATTTTCATTCCTCCAATAATAATATTTAAACATCAAACCCAATGTAACCTATAAATGCCAAAAGTATAACAGTACATCCATAAACAAGGATGGCTTTAAGATAAAGAGACATAGTAACAACCCATCTTACCCAGCTTCTCATCTGGTAAGATGGTTACATTTATCAACTGTTAGTGAAACATCATTTTTACCTAAATAAGAGATGGTTACCTACTAACAACACAGTATCAGCATTAAATAAAAATGCCATTTATTTATTATACCACATATGTGTTTGTAGTAGCATAAATACATGTTAAACACCATTAATTTCCTTGTATAATCCACACATGCATACAGTATACTTTATAAACCTATTTTCCTTTCAGTTGCTGCTAACCCCATGCATAAAATGAATAGTGCAAGCAAGAAAAATGTTCATCAATATTCACATGAGTATCTGAAGTTTTGTTTCATATCTGATCCTCAGGATGAATGGTCAGCATTCTGTCTACTGTGCCAACACTGCTTGACCAATGAATACAATGAGAAAAGGTCATCTCCAAGCACATTTGAAGGCAAAACATGGTGCTTATATAAACTATGATTTGAACCAATTTAAGTCTCTAAAGGAGAAGTCTGAGAAAAGATTAACAATAGAATCATTGTTCTCTGTATGAACTGCTACCCAAAATTGTACTCTTGCAGCTAGTCATGAAATTTCTCTGCTCATGGATAAAACGAGACAAAAAAATCTTACTACTGGGGAGGATTTAATCAAGCCAGCAACTTTTCTCAAAACAATTCTGAAGAAAGATGACTAAGATGTCAAAGGAATGCCACTGAGCAAAAACACTGTTAGCAAAATAATATATGAGGTGGCTAAAGATGTGGAAACACAACTTGTTGAAAAGTTGGTTGGTTTCCAATGGCTGAATTTGGGATCATTTAACCCATTTTGCTTCTTGCTTCCCAATAGAGAGCACTCAAGATCTTGTTCTGTTGCATACTGAATTCAGTTGAGCAGTTGAGATCAAGAAAATTCTCAATACACATGGATGAATCAACTGTAGGGAACAGTGAGGCTGTTTTGGTGGCCTATGTCATATATATTGACAATGGTGAATTTATGTTGCTCTGTGAAGCATTGCAAACCACCACTACTGCTACTGATATATATAATAAACACAAAAATTATTTAGATGAAACTCAAATATCAATGAAAAATAATACCTCTTGTGCTACAGAGAGTGCTCCTGTTGTGGCTTGTGCATTGTGTTATTCACAGAGAAAATTTAGTTTCCAAAAAACTTTCACCTGTTCTAAATTAGATATTGAATTCAGTTATAAACTATATCAACACTATCAAAGCTAATGCCAAATGCGAGTCTCTTCAAACAATTCTGTGAGGATACAAACGCTGAACATATGACTGTTGCTTCACACTGAGGTCAGATGGCTGTCATAGGGAACTGCCTGAGAAGATTCATGGAACTACTTGATATTCTTAGCGAGTTTTTGAATGACAAACCTGAAATGAAACTCCTACAAACAGCTGATGGTCAAGCATTTGTGAGTTATTTGACAGATATCTTTGAGAAACTGAATATGTTAAATATACAACTGCAAGGAACAAGTAAGAACCTTGTTGATGCAGAGGACAAGCCATTTGGCTTCACTGCATTTCTGCGGTTATGTCAGAAGAATGTTTCAGCCAAAAAATCTAACCAATTTTATTGGCTAAATTAGCGTGAGGTAACTGAAGCTGCTGTACATGTTATTGCTGATCATGGTCTGATCTGCCTGGAGGGACTCAGCAAAATCAAGAGAAACCTGCCACAATAACTGGTGTCCTGGCTGGAATTTTACCAGAGCAGATTATGAATACAAGTCTACAGCATTACTGCTACATGAACCTGCTCAGCTGAATATTTCCTTCTGCTGTCTGGGTACTGATTTATTTATGATGGTGCCTGCAGCTTAGATTATATAGTGATGGTTGGTTGATTGGTTAACTGGATAATGAAGTGGAAAGAATGTGGAAGAAAGCAGACACTGACTAATTTGAAGTACTATACTGCAATTTGTCTAAAGGGACTGAGGAAAACCACAAAAACCTCAGTAAGAGCACTTTCTATGTTAAGACTGCAGATACTGAAGTCAGTTCCACACATGCAAGGTCATATTTTTACTTTTGTGCACTAACATTACTTTTCAATAAAAAAAGTTTGTAAATAAAAAAAATTTCGCTCCATGCTGTTTTACATATATGGCGTAATCAGCTACGCACCCAGCCCACACTGACACTTGTAGTCCTGAAGGTTGAAACGCAGGTTTACGGCTAGGCAGTAAGACAGTATGACACTAGTGTGCTGTGTCTGGGCATGAAAAAGCAAATATTTGTGCTTCTTTCCTCCTTCAATCAGAAGAATGGCATTTGAGCGCTTATACACTCTTATGTGCAAACTGCAACAAAGCGTAAGCATTATAATGGTCAAACCAAAGTGCTTGAACCCAGCGCTGGTACCTACAGAATCCATGTCACATGCATTTGTAGGACGTAACTGATACCATGTGACATGCTAACTCTGTCAACACGATTTAGAAGCTCAGTTATACTGGGGTACCAAAATCTGGGTCTCCAAAACTGTCCACAACAACTCTATCTGCAATTTTCCTGTGTTCAGTACTGGAATGAGTAGGACTATTTCCAACAGCTAGAACAGAAGCCTCAGCGACATTTCTTAAGCTTCCATCTCGTAGTTTTGAACTGCTCACCTTGCGATGTGCTACCATCTGTTCTTCATCAAAACTACTACTTGTACTACTACCCTCATTAACATTTTGAACCATCCTGTGTGCTTTGCCACTTCGGCGACCTTTATCAGACAATTTCAGTACATAATTGGATGTTGTGTTAACACCTTTCCTTCCGACTTTGTGGCAATTAGGTGATGGCTGTGAAGACCCATCACCAGCAGCTGATGAGGAATCAACGGACACAAGTTCTGACATAACCAATTCTCTGTTCTTGTATTCTTGCTTGAGAGATTTTGTTGGAGACTTACTTGCAAAATCAGAACTCTTACCTTTTTGACCTTTCATTACTTCACTGCCGTTATTCATAGTTTTAAGAGCCACAGCACCTTCAGATGACTTTACTGGAGATTTATCACTTGTACCTACAGTCTCACCACTGTCTTGTTTAAATTTGACATCGTCCACTACTTCTAAACTTCTGTGTTCAAGAGATATGGAAGAGGCAGAATTTGATTTGCCAAAAACCTGCTGTAAAGTTGAAATACCAATATGTGCATTGATATCACTTTCAAAATTGTTCCCATTAAAGGCTAGATCCCTATTACCAGTGCTATTGTTATTTGGTGTTGATGGAACAGATATGCTTTTCTGATCTGTTTCACAGTAACTACTCGACTCCTTCACTGGGCTCTTCCCTAAAGACTCTTCACTATTGGAGGATCTTCCCATGTGGCTGCCATCTGTAGAAATCTGCATTGGGGAGTATGGAGACAAATCTGTGTTGATGTTGGAGCAATTAACATCAGAGTGACAGCTGAGTGGGTTAGTGCAATTGGTGGAGTGTTGAACAGATGCAGCACCAAGAGATGAGCTGTGACAATCTGCAGGCTTGTTTGTTGCTGTTGTAGATGTGGGACTACTGGGTGAACTGCAATCAGATGCAATCCTAGAAGGGGACCAAGAATTACTAAATGGACGTAGCATGAAACAGAATGACAACACAAGACAAGAACAAGAAGTTATTAACATCTCTTACTAATACTAGTACTCATAATGTTATATTATAGCGTCCTGTTGCACTGATTTTCATCCATTATATGTATACAGTGGCCGTCCTGTAGTGCACATAATTTCACCTGTCACTTCACAACATGTTTCGGCAACACAGTGCCATCATCAGGTGTCCCAACTACGTCAATCTATTGCATTGCTTGCCCTCATATGTTTTCACAAACCATTTAAAAAGTATTAAAAAGTCCGTATTTGTCAACTATGATAAATTTACACTCGCTAAAACTTGTTAAGATAATTCATCTTATTTGTCTTCATTAAAAATTGTACGTGGTTCGTTCATTACAGGGTCGTTTTTCTTATTTTCTGTGTAAACCGCATCTTATGATGTGTTACATAACACTCGCAGCTAAGAAGGGAACACATATCACAAGACGTGGTTTACACAGAAAATAAGAAAAATGACCCTGTAGTGAACGAACCACATACAAGTTATAATTAAGACAAATAAGATGAATTATCTTAACAAGTTATAGCGAGTGTAAATTTATCATAGTTGACAAATACAGACTTTTAGTATACTTTTTAAATGGTTTGTGAAAACATATGAGGGCAAGCAATGCAATAAATTGACGTAGTTGGGACACCTGATGATGGCATGTGTTGCCGAAACATGTTGTGAAGTGACAGGTGAAATTGTGTGCACTACAGGACGGCCATTGTATACATATAATGGATAATACTAGTACCATTACAATATAATGCATGCATAGACTGAGGGTGTTTGAGAACAGGGTGTTGAGAATATTTGGACCGAAGAGAGATGAAGTGACAGGAGGTTGGAGAAAACTGCATAATGAGGAGCTTCATAACTTGTACTCTTCTCCAAGTATAATTAGTATGATCAAGTCAAGGAGGATGAGGTGGGCAAGTCATGTAGCACGAATGGGGGAGACGAGGAATGCATATAGAATATTGGTGGAAAAGCCAGAAGGAAAGAGACCACAGGGAAGACCAAGGTGTAGGTGGGTGGACAATATTAGAATGGATCTTAGAGAGATAGGATGGGATGGTATGGATTCGATAGATCTGGCTCAGGATAGGGACCAGTGGAGGGCTCTTGTGAACACGGTGATGAACCTTCGGGTTCCATAAAATGCTGGGAAATTCTTGAGTAGCTGCAGAATTGGCAGCTCCTCCAGAAGGGCTCAGCTCCATGAGTAGGCAAGCAATGCCCTAAGCAGTAAAAGCAGCATTACAGACTAAGGTACTACAGTTCTGATAATCATAAATTCCTTGCATTGAGTGCTGGATTGAGATCAACGTGGACTACTCGGGGCCACCCCACACATCAAAAGTGATAACTGATTACAGAATATTGATGGAATGAAAACTAAAAAGATAAAACCAACTTCCTCAGAGAAAAAACCTGCATAAGAGATGCAGTTCCCATTGTTTTGAGCACTAGAAGAGACAACATCTGTATCACCTCCATCTTCAGGGTATAAGACATCCATGAGTGAGGAACCCTGAAGATGGAGACAATATGTTCCTCCAAAACATCATATCCCAGAAGATGGAATTCTTCATAGTCACCATTGTGAAAACCTCAAATCTTATGAAACCAAATGTCATTTCACAACCAATATTATGGTCTGTTAACTTTATTTTCAGTATAACAGCAATAAGAAATTATATCAAAATTTGATAATATATTTAACACCTACCTGTTGGGTGATTCTGGAGTTCGGGGAGCAGTTGGAGTGGACAGTAAGGCACGGTTGTTACCATTTTGTTGGCTGTTGCTGTAACCATTCTGTAACGGGTGTAAGTTGACCATGGTGTTTCCATCCAGCACCTCATCATCAAAGAACCGGTATCTGCAAACAGATGTACTTGCTTTTCATATTTGCATTCAAGAAAGCTAGTTACTTTTCAAAAACAATAATTGCGAGTTTCTTTCTCTCAACAAAAATAGAGCCTCCTTGGTTGCTCTTCCTTCCACCCAAGAAAGACTGAACAAGACCACATGAAACACTAATCTGCCATTGTGTGTCATCTGTGAAGGTCAATGCATATGCAAAAACACAGACTCTGTAACTAATACTTTTCCTCAGTGAGATCTGAGGCAATGACTATGGACATAACTGTATTCTGGGGTGTGATTTCTTGAAAAAGCTAAATAGTTCCATTCAGTGTGAGTGGTTAAGATTTTCTTATTTCAATTATTCACGTGAATAACTGAAATAAGAAAATCTTAACCAGTCACACTGATAATGATATTAGTGTGACAGACCAGAATGAAACAAATCAAATTCGTGTGATTTCTTGTTATCTGGTAGAATGTTACAAATGTTTTGGAGGAAAAAGTGGTAATGTCCTGTCAGACATACAAGCTCTCACATCTCAGAACACAGTAGTCTTCATAATAAAGTGGAACCACCATTTAATATTCCTCTGCATGAGGTTTTACCTCACTTGAGGTTCAAGTGAAAGTGTTCATATTTATCAGAACAAGAGAATAGGCCATCATCAAACCAAGTAAAGATGTGGGATACATATGGCTCCCTCTAATCTGAGATAAAGGCACCGGTAACATTACCGAGTTTTACCAATGACCATTCCTAGGCTGCCTAAGTCATAGCGGTTAGTGCCCAAGTCTGATCTGTTAATAGTACAAAATAAAAATGTAATAATAAATCTATCAGCATAATGGCAACTGAGATAAGTCTCCACACAATGGACCTAGACAGAGGTGAGAAATCTACATCACATTATGCTTGCTGACTCTTCGTCAAAATCATGTCCCTTGCAATGTCATTACAGTTATGGTATCATGAATTGTGAATAAGCTCAGTGTTTGCTATTCTGTTATTATGCATGGGGAGGTACTTCAGAGTCCACCTTTACGCCCGCCCACAACCAACCAAAGTTTGTAATGTACCTCTACATAGCACCACTGCTTCATGCACCTTGTTATGCCAATAAAAGCTTAGTGCTTTAATGTGAATGGAGATATATTTTCTGAACTTTTCAAAATCACAGTGTGCGTATTTAGTGAACCTGCAATTCCACTGTCCTTCATAGGGGTTGAAACATGTGAGTGGATCACAATGAAGTAAATAGAGGGTTGAACAAATACAATGTTCACATAGTGGGGGGTGGAGCCCGGCTGGGTCCACTCGGCATGTCGGCCACTGGTTGGCCTATTGTACCTGTCTCAGGTGATTATGATGATTTGGCGGAATAAAGACTGGCAGGGTAAACCAAAGTACTGGGAAATAATCTGCCCCAGCACCACTTTGTCTATCACAAATCCCACTTGACCAGACCCGGGCTGCCGCGGTGGAAAGCCAGCAACTAACCGCTTAAGCTATGGTGCGGATAATACAATGTTGATTATCATAACAATTTTCTGTAGAAATCTCAGTGAGTTTGTATGCCAGTTTGAAACATATTCAAGAGAGGACATAAACCATCACCTATCCTCCCTGCAGGCTACATCTTACCTAAAGCCATACATGTCTTCTCCAAGTGAATTCTCCTCATCGCTGTCCTCTGCTGCAATGTACTGCACTTCCAAGCACATGTCACCCAACTGCGACTGCAAGATATCCACAGCTTCTTGATGAGAGGCCTGCATGAACATCAGGGCTCTGTATTCATAATTTGGAGACATTTTGGAAGGTGTTCTAATTTAATTAAAACTTTGAAAAGTACTGTCTTCTGGGATATGAATGCTGTGTAGTCTGGTAGAAGTTTACTGACTTTTGTAGGTATGTTAGTAAAATTCTATGAGACTACATGGCGCCATATCCCAGAAGACAGTGTGTTTCTTAGTCACCACAGAGAGAACCTCAGATCAAGTATAAATTGCATACAGTTGTTACTTCCTGTATACACTGAGGGATGCTAACAACTGACCTACAGGCCAGCAGCAACCAAATACAGTTACAATCATGTGTAAACCATTAACATAATTTGATCATATCTCTATTTTAATTTCATCCTATCACCATCTTCTTTTCCAAATGTTTTAAACAAAATGTTCTCATTTTCTTCATTGTTTCTGTTCATACATTCAGTTTTTATCATAAGCACCTCATTACCAAAATACATCAAGCTCACTCCATAACTTAGATTCAGAATATGCGTGTTCTTTTAGGTTCTCCAATGGACTCAATTTGACACAGAAATTGCTTCCTGCTGTTAAATTCAATCAGACAACCCCACAATTTCGAAAAAATTAAGTGAGATTTACTATGGTAGTTTGTCATGTGTTCAAATAATTGGAACAATGGTCAAATCTGAGGATCTCACAGCAGTGACTATGAATATTACTGTGTTCTAGGGTGTGACAGGGTAGAAGATAATCTCTTCTTGTGCCATGAAGAAGGAAGGTGCAGGTTCCTGTGATACTACTAGACTATGTGGCATCACTTCCCAGAAGGCAGCGATCTTCAGGTCCTCATCCTCTGTGACCTGCTGCACACAGATGACTTAGCGATTCATCGGGAGACACTAAGGAAAGCAACACACAAAGCAAGTCCAACCCAGAACTACACTTCAATGTCTAGCCTTAAAAATACAGGGTGATTCTAAATTACTATCGGTGTTTCCATGGCCTATAATTTTCAAACCGAAAATAACAAAATAAAACTGCTGATGGAATGTCAAAGTGTAATTCAAGAAGTTTTATTTTATGGATAATAAAACTTTTTGAGTTACATTTTTATATTCCACAAGCAGTTTTATTTTGTTATTTTTCGTTTGAAAATTATAGGCCACAGAAACCCTGACAATAATTTAGAATTCATATTACAACAGTTACCTGCTTCAAGTCCTTGCCATTTGCAGAAAGTATCGCATCTCCAACATACAGCGCACCACATTTTGCTGCTGCTCCTTCGGGCTCCAATTCTGAGATCAAAATAGGCACACCATGTTCACGGCCTCCCTGAATGATAAAACATAAAAAATAAAATAAAAAACTTCAAAATAACAATATAAATTTTAGGATCTGAGGTTCTCATGGTGTTGGCTATGAAGAGTTCTATTTTCTGGAATACATCTCTTCTTAATAATATGAATTGTAAACGTGAGAACACCAGTCACATGTAAGATGGTATCAATTATTTCCTTTCTGAATGCTGAAATAAGAACATTAAGATTAAAAGAAGAATAAGCATGGACTTACATTCCATCCTCACAAAGCGACTGCCAAAGAAGACTTCTACATTTACTCACTGTGAAAGCTTAAAATTTTACAGAGAAAAAGCATGCAATGCTGTAAAACAGTAACTCTGAAGCAGACACAGGATTAACTTGTTTCAGTTATGCAGGCACTGATAATCACCTGAGATAATGATATGATAATAATGGTGAGGATATAAATATAATGAAGATAGAAATAACTTCTGATTGACTAAACTGAAATAATATTTTCGTCATACGCATCCTGTTGTGTGTCATAGTTTACAGGAAAAGGTTTGACCATCAACATAACATTTCATTAAATAAACCAAGGTAACTACACAACAATATTTAATTAAATAAACCTGATGATGGTCCCGTGAGGACTGAAACATGTAGCAGCCACTGAAATAAACCAACTGTTAAGAGTTATCTTGGTTTATTTAATTAAATATTGTTGTATTGATGGCCAAATCTTTTCCTTTTAACTTGAAATAATATTATCGCTCTATCACAATAATAACACTAGGACACTAAGAATTTACCACTTTTGCTGGATGTGAGGTTTGGACAGCAGTGACTGTGAAGAGCATACCACCTTCTGGGATGTAACACCATACAGTCTGGTAGAAGTCCTCCAGAATGTCAGTGGACTTCTATCATGCTACATGGCAGTACATCACACAAGATAGTACTCTTCGTCGTTTTACTTTCTCTCTGGAAGTGCCTTAAAATTGTGATGGATAGATGGACGGTTAGAAAGATGAACCCTCATAAATTACATACAGTTAATATAACGACCACTGACGTTTTCATAGGAAATGTAGAATGTTAGAAAGTTAACTAGACTTTCTCTTTTCATAAATTTGTAGAAATTATTCTAATTTTTGCTCATGCACCGTACAGCTACTTCCTTCCTATACTGGCTTTCACCGACTTCCAACATTAGTTACAAGCTTCACAAAAGGCACTTTCCGTCACTGACAGTTTATCTACCATGAAAAGTTTAAAACATTTCCACTTTTAACATGTACCTTGGTTATTATACTACTGACATAAAATGATTAGGATATTAATAAAAGTGAAGAGTTCTATCTTTTGGGATATAAACACCATGTGGCCCATTGGAAGTCAACTGACATTTTGGAGGAACATGTCGTTTCCGTCTCTAGGGTTGAAGAATCTGCCAAGCAAGAAATTAGCCCTGCTTGCTACCTGTTTCATGCTAGTTTCTTGCTTGACTTATTCTTTAACCCTGAAGATGGAGGTCACATGATCCTTTGAAACATCCGCTGACTTTCAACGGACTGGACAACGTTATACTCCAGAAGACAGAACTCTTCATAACCACTGCTGTGAGAACCTCAGATCATACACGGCGCTATATCCCAGAAGACAGAACCCTTCATAACCACTGCTGTGAGAACCTCAGATCCTACACGGCGCTATATCCCAGAAGACAGAACCCTTCATAACCACTGCTGTGAGAACCTCAGATCCTACACGGCGCTATATCCCAGAAGACAGAACCCTTCATAACCACTGCTGTGAGAACCTCAGATCCTACACGGCGCTATATCCCAGAAGACAGAACCCTTCATAACCACCGCTGTGAGAACCTCAGACCCTACACGCCACTATATCCCAGAAGATAGAGCTCTTCATAATCACCGCTTTGAGAACCTCACATCCTATGTAATTTACGTTTTTATCACACAGCTTTATTGATATAGCTGGAACCTACTGAGGAAACGACCAAGTAGAAGAAAATGAGGGCACAGGACTAACAAAAGTACTTACAGTAATGGAAATTCCCAGACCTTCTCCCGTTTCTCGCTGGACGGTGACGAATCTAGGTTCATCAATACCCTGCTGACTTCTGTTATCATTTAATGGAGGTTCTGATGCACGTATTGTATTATCACCACCTGTGCCATTTCCTTTGCTACGACAAGCTCTTATCACAGCTTTGTGGCGATGCAATAAGATTTCTGATTCTAGCTGTCGCCATAGCTTGTCCCTAATTTCACCTCGCATTTCTCGCCCAAGTAACTGCAACTGTTGTATTCTGCAACGAATAAATTAAACACATCGATAAATGTATGGATAATAACTATTAATGTTGCATCTCAGTACAGTATACTCCAAATTAACCATCTGTAAATAACCAATTTTGCATAATGTGGCACATAGATCCACTGCTAAGAAGTGACTTTGTAAATAGCTGCTGTTGCTAGGTAATGCCTGCAACTCTATACAGTGCAAGCTACTGACAGAAAGCATGACCACACAAACAAACAAATAAATAAGGATATACTTTAGCAACAAGCTCCCTTGGTAACACAGAGACATTCCAGTGCTCTGTCTTGTTCTAATGGAATACTTGTATATGTGGTAGAGTCATTAAGTTCGTGGAATGTGGCTTTATTGCAGCCATGGTTACCATGGTTACCATAATACATAGTATAGTCATTAAGTTTGTGGAATGTGGTTTTATTGCATCATATTACAAGGTATTCACATACACTTACACAGATCCACATCGGCCCTCAAAATAGTTGTCGTTGGCCACTATGCAAGTCTGCCAACACTGATATAGCTGCCGAAACATTGCTGAAACATATTGGCAGGAAATTCCCGTACGGCGTCTCTTGTGGCAATGACCACACCTCCTCGGACGACCGAAATCTACAACCACGTACCTTTGCTTTCAAGCGGTGAAAGAGAAAGAAATCGCATGGTGCGAGATCAGGTGAGTACGGAGGGTGTGGCAAAACGGTGACCTGTTGCCTTGCCAGTTCCTCTTGGACAAGAACAGAGCGATGTGCAGGGGCGCTGTCATGTAGCAACAGCCAATTCTTCCTATGCCAAATGTTTTGCTAGGGGATTTGCCTAGTTTTTGGCAGAACTTGAATTTTTCCCGTTGTTCAAACTGCCATATTTTCGATTTCCACCACTTGCATTTAACTGCAGTTCACAATAGAGGTCACAGTTCTACTTACACTGTTTGCACACAACTACCCCTAGCTGTGACGAGAGATGAACCGACAGGGCATCATACTGTGCCTCAACCTATCCGCTGCAGTGCACTGCAACGACGCTTTACGGCCATTCCATGAACTTATTGACTGTGGTAGTATATATATATATATATATATAAGCCATTATGATCAATGTGATATCAACCTGCCAGCCAGTTCTTTGTCCAGGTATTTTGCTGTAAGCTTGGCACCATACACTTCGCTCTGCAAGGCAAGCAATGTGTTACGCAAAGCTGTGTTTTCACTTCGCAGTTGAGAGAGTTCACTGTGGAGAGATGCCAGTTCCAAGAGGCTCATTTGCATTCCATCTTCCTTCACTGCGAATGAAAATTAACACTGATAAATACATCATATGAGATCAACTGCAAGGCTTCTTTAAAAAATATAACCTCAAAGATGTTTCATATGAAACTTGCAGGCATATGTTACAACTTTCACCAACACTAGGCCGTGCCATAGCTCAAGTGGTTAGCTGCTGGCTTCCCACAGTGGCAGCCTGGGTTCGATCCCGGGTCTGGTCAAGTGGGATTTGTGGTGGGCAAAGTGCTGCTGGGGCAGGTTTTCTCTGAGTACTTCGGTTCCCCTGTCAATCTTCATTCCACCAAATTCTCCATCATCATAACTACCCAGGGCAGGCTACAATAGGCCAATCAGTGGTCACAGTGCAGAGTGGACCCAGTTGGACTCCACCCCCCACTAAGCGATTTTATTTTATTTTTTTTTTTCACCAAGACTGTCTTCAACCAGTCATGAGGTCCTGACATGAACTTTAAAGTAAAATACAAACACAGCAAACCCTCATCAACTACGGGTTTCAAGTATCTGCAGTTTTCCAATTGTATTCACTTTTATCAAACAGTGTCTGGTTTCATCTGTCACTGATCTCTAATTTGTGTATGCACAGAAATTATCAACAGCTTTTTGAACCATGGGAAAACCAGGAGGGACAGATTTATAAGGACATCTGAACCAATTTTCCTAGCTTTCAGGTTACTATTCCAGCACCCTCTTCTGACACATATTCATGTCTAACACTGTGTAAATTTGTGTTTAATGAAGGAACACATAACTTAATTATGCTCTGATGAGTGTGTTAATAGTGGCCACAGTTCCTCTAACCCAGTGTTTCTCAACCGCCAGGCCGTGGCCCAGTACTGGGACTTCATCTTATAGAAAAAAAATTACTGGGCCATGGTCTGACAAAGGTTGAGAACCACTGCTCTAACCCACAATGCCTTGATCTTTTAAAACAGTGATTTTGTGAAGCACTGTATATTTCAGGAATGTGACCACAATAACTGGCAAGCAGTTACTGTGTATTTTTTTGTATGGTCACCATGTTGTGCTTAGTTTTAGACACAAATGCTCGCATCATACTTTTCACATATCTATCATCAGACAGGAATGGCATCAGCACTGGTGCTATGTAAACTGTCTGTACAGCCAGCATACTGGAATGGCTGAAGACAGGTATTTCAAAACTATGGTGACAGCATGATTTTCAACTGTATCATTTCCCTATCAAGTCTCAAGTTGACTGGCCACTTCACTCTGTGGTTATGAATGGAAATTATACACAGAGTAGTATTCATTGCAGTAATTCTCTAATGGTAGATTCACTTCACAGCAATCACACTGGATTTGTATGGCGTCTTGTGACATCTAAGGTATCAACTTTGGAAGCAATGATATCTTGCAAGGAAGAAGACTAACATCTGTGCTGATGCGTTGGAGATTGCTGCAACTCTTCCTCTAATCTTCTGCGGATTCGTTCAGCATCTGGTTCCGTGTGTACACCAGGCAGGTGCTGCAGTTGGCAGGCATGCAGCTGTAACAACAGAGTGTGTAGCTCTTGGTCCAGTACAGAACGCTGTGCCTTAGCATCAATCAGCTCTGCTCGGAGGTACACCAACTCTGCCTGCAAGGATAAAACTGAACTTACTTCTTATTCTGGTGTATTTCATGATGCTGTCAGTATCTGGATGATGAATTGGAAAGGATTTGGAAGGAAGCAGCCATGGCATAATCAAAATATTATCCCTTTATATGCAGAGAGAGAGAGAGAGAGACTGCAGAAAATAAAAAAATCCTCAGAACAGCCAGTGTCCTTGCCAAAATTTGAATCCAGCACTCCCAAAATGCAAATTTAGATTGTTACTCTACATCAACCTGCTTGGCCACTTTTTTCTTATGGTTTAGTCACTAGTCAACTAAACTTGATTACTCAACTGCCAAATATAAATAATGCTACAATAAATTCAAATTATTTTGACCATGCCCAAAGAAGGAAAGTATGATGACTCAAACAAACTTGCAGATATGTTGGATCAAGGGCTAAAATCTTGTTGCTGTTCTTAATTAAGCACTATGGCATGAAGGCGTATGGGGAGTGGAGGTATAGCTCCATGCATATTTGACATAAGCACCAAATGGAGGTGAGTGTTTAGCCTGATGCCCTGGCAGCTTTACCCCTAGTGTAAGAGTCCCTGGCACCCACTGGATAGGAGGGTGTGTGGGCCCCAGAGCTGATTTCCCGGTTGTCCAGCCCATAGCCAGGTCACTATATGACTGAGATAACCTGGCTCCTACTGGATAAGGAAGACCAGTCTGAAGGAGAATTTACGAAATTTGTTTTAGCACTATGTAATTAATTTCAGAGAGTTTGTACAGTGTAAATTATGCACAGAAATGTAACATTAATTGTATAATTATCAATTTATACAGAATGATTCACCAGGAGGAGGCCTCAAATTAATAATTACATATCACAACAGTTTACTAATTAAAACCAAATCTGGCAATTCTGTGTACGTTGCAACACTGCCCAATTCATGACATCTCCTTCAGTCTGTGATCCCTCCAGCCATGCTGGCTGCAACATTCGCAAACATGCTGCTTCGTGTCAGCCTGCATCTCCAGCAGGGGGTGAAACCAATTTAAACATCTTTTGTTACCTAATTATCTCAACATCTACCAAAGTATGTACTTCTCAAGTTTCCTTTTTATTGGCAAATTAATGGGTGATTTACAATTTTTAATCTGTGGCTTCCTTACAGTGGATCACCCCAGAGCTCCTCTAGAGACCACGTCCAGCATGACTCTGGGGCCCACACAGCTTCCTCTATAATGGGTACCATGGGATCATTTACCCTTGGGTAAAGTGGTCAAGACATGAAGCTGACCACTCACTTCCAGTATCCCCACTCATCCTCATGCCATGACGTTTACCTTTCTCTCACATTAATGAGTGAAGAACATGAATGGAAGTGGGCATCATTAAGTTCTTCCTGGAAAAGGTAAGGTAAAGCTATCCTTGCAACAGGCCATGGAGGCCCATAGGGTTGCAAGACATTGAGGCTCCCACATTTTCTAGACAATCGACTCATAGATGGCTGAGGTTGTCAGCCTTATGCTCCAGCTGCCCTTTACACCCAGTAAGATTCCTGGTACTCATCTCTGTTAGAGGCTGGAAGGATTAGGTCAATTGAAAAATCAAACGAACTTATCACAAATTGAACCAGTGGCCTTCCAGCTTGTAGCACAGTGCTTTAACCAACTACACTACAATGTGACCCCTCTTCCAAGTTCTTCGTGAGACTTATTTAAGTATTTTACATACTCCAAGTAAACTTTATGAAATTTATACAAAATGGCTGTACAAAAAACACACAGATTACACTAATCTGTAACCAGTGCCCTAAATATCATTGTGGTAAAAAAGGACAAAGGTAAATACATTTTTCATAATTAGCCCATAAATCATCTTTACATTAAACGGTTCTCAGCAGTTAGTAAAAACCTGAAAGATAGATTTTAGGGTTGTACAGACAGGGGCATACAGAAGGAAGAAACAGGTACACAGATAAAAACACATGAAGAGACTTGCAGACAGAATAACAGGGAAGAACACTGGCAGATCCACTGACAGGAAAGGCAGATCTGTATGACCTGCTTCGCATTGGCGAGTTACAAGTACTTGCCTCACCATTAACTGCCCATGGAAGAATAACGTATATGAGGAGAGGCTTGTACACGGTCAGTCACTAAGAGGCTGTAATGGATTAATAATTATAAGTAAAGCAATACTTTAGTCATGAAAACGAAATTTGGCTGGACTGTGTAATCTGCAGTACAGACCTGGTGCTTGCCTGGGCTGCGCCATTTCTTTCAGTCTGATTCCACAAGAAGTCCAGTAGAAAAATGTATAAAGAGCCTATGTCTCCATGTGGCAAGAAACTAATTTCAACGTTTTCTACAACCCAACTCTCCCAACATCTACCAAGGCATGTACTCACTGTATTCTGTTCACATTGGTAAACTATCACGTATCATCCTGTACTAGCTCCAAGAGTTTAGCTGTGTTTCCAACATAAAAAAGTGCAATTTCCCTTTCAGTATTTATTTAGCAAGACATCTTTCTAAGTACATACCATTATGAAGTTCACATTAAGAACGTAAGATGAGATAAGAAATGACAACAAATTTAAATTATAATTTCTTGTAAAGATCTGCTTTGTGTTTAAATTATGATGCCAATGTTAGGATTGGAGAGCAAAATACTGCAGAACATTTTGCAAATAGAACTTTCCTGGTGCCTCAAAGCAAATGGGATTTATAACACTTATCTTTTTAGATGCTGTTTAAAGAAAAACTTGTGAACAGATCCCAGCAACATTCTCAGCATATGATTTGAAAGAAACAGTGCACATGCATTTGCTCATTAATCAGTACTACTGGCCTGGACATATGCTATGCATGTTATGAACTTCCTGTCACCTAATGGACCACTCACAGAGTCAGGCCTGGCTCAGGGGGCCTGGTTTGAATCTTCTTCAGGATACTAGAGAAAGTAACAGGAATTTTTCATTGCTCTCCTTTCAGATTAATGAGGGGGCATGACTTCATAACCCATTACTTAACATTTGTTTATTTATAGTTTATTTAATGACACATTCAAAAAATTAATCTAGTGGTAACACGCTAGATCCGTATTGTGGATGTGCTTGGTTGGAATCTCGGCCGAGAAGCCGGTTATCCTGATGGGTTTGTACGGTTTTCCTCAGTCCTTCCCGGCAAATATCGGGATAGTAGGTTGATTATGTCACAGCTACTTCTTTCCAATTCGAGATTCGCCAGTCATCCTACCATTCAACGCTGTATAGCCTAGATACTGACAAAAAACAAACAAACAAACCCCGCGGCTTTAGCCCGCAAGCGAACTATACCGACCGAGCGACCGCCGCTTGTCGGTGAAGTTAGTGCCAACTTTAGCGGATAGAAGATGTGGCGTAGTCAACGCAACGAATCCCCACGGCCGTTAATATCGGTTTTCTAGACCGGAGCCGCTATTTCCTTGAAATAGCCCCTCAATTATCTTCACGAGGCTGAGTGGATCCCGTTCCAGACCCACTACTTATCAGAAAATCTGGTAGCGCCGGGAACAGAACCCGTGACCTTAGGATCTGTAGCCAGGTACTCTGACCACTAGACCATAGAGGCTGTCTCTAGATACTGACAGCATCTTAAAATAGCCCACAAGAGGTTTAATAACGCTGTCAGTAGTTCTGACAGTAGAGTGTTGAATGATTCGATGACAGTGAATAATGAAGCCGAAATGCTATGGAAGAAAACGTCCGTGATATAGTAGATAAGGCTATCCCGGCATTTCGTAGAAGGGACTGAGGAAAATGAAGGAATATTTCAGCGAGAACAACCGATGTCCCAGCCGAGTTTTGTATCTGGCACCTCTCCGACCGGTGGCCCCAATCCGTGGGAGGGGGGAAGCACATCAATTCTCTGGCTACCCTCTTTTGGAATAAGTCTTGGTAACGCTCATGAGTGAATACTGTTGTGTGCTGGGAAGTGACACCGTGTATTCTGTAACTATCTATGCAGACCAGAAGACTGTCCACTGTGAGAACCTCAAACCTCACATTAGTTACAAGTGACCTTGTCTGCTTTCCCACAGGCTCCGAATGTACTGACGGACCAATTCAGTAAGGCAGACAGACGATAAGGATGTGACGTCCTTTTATGTGCCTGTATTTATTTACGACGTATCAGTAATTTAGAACACAGCAGGATGATTAGTGAATGATGGATTAGAAAAACTGGGAAGGAAGCGATCGTAGCCTAACTGGATGTAAGAAAAATTTGTCCCTGTGCTTAAATAAGCATCATACCATGAAGATATATGAAGGATGGAGGTACAGCTCCACGTATTCTTAATATCGGCAATAGATGGAGGATGGCCAGCTTTATGTCCCGGAGAAAGAGACCTCAGTACACGCTGGATGAGAGGCGTGTTGGGTCCCTGAGCAGGTACGGACGCTATAGGAGAAGAGTAAATTCTCTTGCACCCGTCGGAAATAGCATCAGGATTCTTCGATCGTCCAACCCGTAGCATAGTCACGATAGACTCAGCCATCCCGACCTAATTTGGGACACAATTTCGGAATTCGTCTGAAGAGAATGTCGAAAACCACGGAAAACCTCAGAACAGACCAGCAGGTCTCGGGACTGAGACGCGAACCCAGGACTATCCGAATAAGAAGCACTAGCGCTATTTACAGGACCGCTACACTCTGGTTTGTGTGTCTATAACGACACGCTGTCCTCATGTTTTGTGCTGCCATTCAAGGACTAACGAAAATGCGAGAAAAATGTTCGAACTTCAAATCGAGTGCCCTTGTGGACCCTTTCGCCAGACAGCGATGCAGTAGAGGGTGGGTGGCCAACGAGAGGCCACCCACAGGCATCTGTGCCTTAGGGTAAATTTGTAACCTAACCTGTAGTGTTTCCGTTAAGGGCCAATACGCAACTCTTCTTTCTATAGCGAACAAGCGACAACGCGTCAAAATAATTCCCCAGAGCGGTGAATAGTAAGTCCTTCGGGGATGTCGCCGTCAACTCTGGTAG